GGTCCTCATTTTACCCACCTCAGAAGGATGGAAGGCTGAGTCAACCTTGAGCCTAGTGGGATTTGAACGGCCCAACTGCAGATAGCAGTCAGCTGAAGTGGCCTGCAGTACTGCACCCTAACCACTGCGCCACCTCAGCTCTTACTAAACAACATGCCGGCAATGTCAGCGGGAACTGGAGAACCAGTTCGGGGGTGAACCGGGGCGAACCCGTAGCAACCCACCCTTGCAGTGAAGAAGAAAACTGGTTACATGTTTACTTTGATGATAGGGAAAAAAATGCTATTTCAAGAATGATCTTTGATCTGCATACAATAACTTCAGTTTTCTAATGCCATAACCCTGAAGCCTGTTGGTATCGTTGTTTTTCTCTCTCCTTTCCCTAGAGTTGGTGCTAATGTGCATTTTACCTGTGATGATAATTATGTGCTCCAAGGAACTAAAAGCATTACTTGTCAAAAGGTGACAGATACCTTAGCTGCTTGGAGTGACCATAGGCCAATTTGCCGTGGTAAGTATTGTTCAAGTTGGAAGCTGGTTGCAAGCTGTTCTGCCTTCATCTTCCTTAATTAAATGTATACCTGATAGGGCCAATGGCCCCCATTTTTATTCATACCGCACATTGCTCTTACTAAAACTCAGGAAATATTTGGGGGTTTGAGGGTAAGAACCTTCCAAAGTTTTATTTAAAAAAATGCAAAAAAAAAGTACTAAAATCTGTATTCGAATAAAGTCTGATCCTTTATGTTAGATTATGCCAAACCTCTAAAGGCTAACTCCCCTGCCTTTATGGAAAATTACTTATCCTGTGAATCTTAATCTTTTAAAAATTAATTACACCACTTTGTCTGGCACATTTTGCATGATATATAAATACTCAATTAACATGAATTGCCCTATATTTATTTTCTGTGTAGTGAATTAATTAACAGTTAATTAATTATTAAAATATGTGTGCAGCTCCACAGGTACTATGTGGTAATTACAAGCTATTTTAGCAATTAAGGTGATTTAATTCTAAAGGACTATTCATATTAACAAACATTTTAGTATATAGAAATGAAATATTTACCTTGATTTCCTTTTAGGCTGTGTTCAAAGGAAAAAGAATCAACTACATATATTAGTAGTTGATTATGTATCACAATGTTACATATTACAATGTTACAGCTGAAGGATCTGTAATGTTTAAGCTAATTACTTGAAATTCTGCTTGGTTATGTAGGAAAAAAAAGTTAGAATATTGATTCTAATCTCATATGTTTTCTTATATTTGCCATTTCCCATAAATTGTTCCAGAGGAGTTAAATCACCTTATTAATTACCAAAATAGAAACAGTATTACTATCTTGTCTAGTTTCCATACTTTAAATATGATGCTATTTGCACATTAAGAAACTTCAAGAAATGTATTAAAACACATGTTGTATTTTTTTTTTCCTGGATAAACAGTTGTGATCTCTCAATCCAGTATGAGTGGGAGAAAGAATGAATCATTAGCCATGGATATAGCTCTATACAGTATATATAATTTTCTCTCTGTCACACACACACACACACACACACACACACACACACACACACGCACACACACANACCCACCTCGGAAGGATGGAAGGCTGAGTCAACCTTGAGCTGGGGAGATTTGAACCGCCGAGCTGCAGAACTAGCAGTCAGCTGAAGTAGCCTGCAGTACT